GGCGAGATTTGGGATTTATCTCCCTGGCCTGGGCTCGGGATTTTTCTGGAGTTTTGGGGGTTTTTTTTCCCTCTATTATGGTTTTTTTTCCCGCCCGCCAATCGATTGAATACGCTTTTTAATCGCGATTTTCTTCCCCAATTCGCCCTTTATGGCCGTGTCGGAGCTGGTGGTAAAAGCGGGGCTGAAAAGGGAATTCCCGCAGGGCTGCGGACCCCGACCCTGCCCGCAGCTCCTCGCGTGCCGAAATATTTAATTCCCTAAAATATTCAGTTCGCCAAAATATTCCGTTTTTCGGAGCGTTCTGATGGGTTTAGGGAGGCGCGCCGGGGTTAAAATCTGAATTTTCCGCCTGGCAAAGCAGGTGTGGGCTCATCCCCACCTCTCTGCCCTGCCTTTATCCGCCTCGAGGTTTTTTATTTATTCAAAGTTCTGCCCTGAAGAAATCCCTCAGACCTGCGGGGGGAGAAATCCCACCCGAATTCCAAAAAAAAAAAAAAAAAAAAAAAAAAAAAAAGAAAAAAAAAAAAAGGAAAACCAGAAAACCAGAAAAAGAAATGCTAAGGAGGGGAGAGGCGAGTGGAAAAGGAGAATTAAAAATTTTAAAAATTAAATCTTCATCTTTGGAGAAAGGGGAAGGATCAGAGCAGGCAAAACACCTCGGGGCGGGTGGAAAAGGAGAATTTAAAATTTAAAGTTTCATCCTTGGAGAAAGGGGAAAGATCGGAGCGGGGAAAACACCTCGGGGCGGGTGGAAAAGGAGAATTTAAAATGTTAAAAATGAAATTTTCATATTTGGAGCAAGGGGAAAGATCGGAGAGGGGAAAACACCTCGGGGCAGGTGGAAAAGGAGAATTTAAAATTTAAAATTTTCATCTTTGGAGAAAGGGGAAAGATCGGAGTTGGGAAAACACCTCGGGGCGGGTGGAAAAGGATAATTAAAATTTTTTAAAATTAAATCTTCATATTTAGAGAAAGGGGAAGGATCGGAGCGGGCAAAACACCACGGGGCGGGTGGAAAAGGAGAATTAAAAATGCTAAAATTTATAAAATTCATCTTTGGAGAAAGGGGAAATATCGGAGCCTCGGGGCGGGTGGAAAAGGCGAATTAAAAAGGTTCAAAATTCAATGTTCATCTTTGGAGCAAGGGGAAGGATCGGAGCTGGGAAAACACCTCGGGGCGGGTGGAGCGGGAGACAAAAAACCCAAATAAATGAAAATTTCGGGGTGAAGCGCGGGTCAGCGCGGCGGACACGCCTCGCTGTTTAACAAAGACTGCCAAAGTATGAGATTAATACCAAAAGTTGCGTTCGCCCTCCCAGCCCAAAATGCTCAGACGGGCCTCGCGGCGCTGCCGGCGGCAGCTCCGGGGACAAAGCGGGGCGAGCGCGGAGGGGGCGCGGCCACCGGCGAATAGCGACAAACCCCCCAAAAAACCCCCCAAAAAATTCAGAATTAGGAGAGGAGGAAGAGGGAAAAAAAAAAAAAATACAGAGAGAGGGAAACGAGGGGGTTGAAGGAGGATTAATTCATTAATTCGTTAATTCATGGTGCTGGGCAGCGCCGCGGCAGCGGGGCAGGGATGGGAAGGGCTGGCGGGATTTTTGGGGGGGTTTTGGGGGATTTGGTCCCTGAAAACTCCCTGGGTTTTGGGGAGAGCCTGGAACCCCCCCCGGGATTTGCCGCGAGGAGAAGGAGCCGCGATTTGGCCAGGTAGGAAGCGCTGCGGGCCGCACCTGCGGGCCGGGGGTCCCACCCCCTTTTTGGGGGCACCCCAAAGGCCGGGGGAGGTGCTGGCAGGTGCCGCCGGATCTGGGGAAGGGTTTGGGATGCCCTTCCTAAAAAAAGGGGAAGGCCGGGGGTCTGCTTGAGGGGGCTTTGGAATGGGGGGAAAAAAAACCCCAAAAAAATCCTCCAAAAAATAAAAATTCTGTGAGAAATTTCCGCGGGATCCCAAAGGGGAGGGAAGGGTGAAAATTTGGGATGCGAGGGGAGATTTCTTGGAGGTGTGCTGGGGGGAAAATAAATTCTGGCAGACGCTAGGGGTGCTGGTTGGCAAACCCCGGCCCTGTGGTGTCACCGCGGAGCGGAAAAAAAAAAACGATTTTTTTTTTTAAAGGGATGTGGGAGGGGGTTAAAAATAGAGAAAAAGGCCTGGTTGTTCCTAGGGCTGGGGCGGGAGAAAATGGAATAAAATAAATCACTGAGGAGGGGTCGGGGAGGAGGAATAAACTCTAAAAGAGATAAAGAGGGGATTAAAAAGGAATTAAAATGAAAAGGAGCCGTAATGGGGTCGGTTCTGATATTTTATGGCAGCCGTGCCCGCGTTGTAGGTTTGGCTCCGCTCTTTTCGGGCAGGTTTTAGAGGAAAAGGTGAATTTTGAGGTGTTGCTGCTGCGGGAGGTGGGAGGTTCCGCTCGGTGCAAAAAGATTTCGCTGCTTCTGCTGGAAATTTGGGGTTTTTAAAAGGATTTTGGGGTTTTCTTGGATGCCCTTGGTTTGTTTCTTAAAGCGCCGCTCAGTTATTCTGTATTTAGCGGGGAGTTTTTAAGCAGGAAAAGCGATTTATTCACCTCAGAGCGCCTGAGAAATCCAGAATGGGGAGATTTCGGGGATTTTATTCTTGGCCAGAAGTTTTAATTGTTTGGTTTTTAGGGAAAACG